CCTTCATATTCAAAGAGTACTTATTTAACCTTTATGAGACATTAGAGAATGTATATATATATAACATGTGTAGATAAAGCCCACATTTTTAGTCATGTTTTGTATGATTCAAGATACAATCAGATTTTCATTGTGATATGGAAACAACCATTATCACATTTTCATGATATAGAGAAAAACCAACCTCCTAGTCCCAAAAGTCTACCTTTTTGTCCCCTAAGATAGGTTTGCTAGAGTAGAGTGACAATGACAAGCTTATTACTGAACCAAGTTGTCAAAGATTACATCAATCTTGACCTTACTTCCTTTGACTTGTTTGTGCTGCTCAGCTGATCACACAACTTTGAGATCTATTCACGATAAGTACTATGAATGTTTGAGCTTTGCAAGTTTGTCTCTTGCGTTTTGTTTCTTCAAGTACTTTCTCAGCACTTAAAAGCTCTCTGTGGTTCCAGAGAAAACTTTGGTGGAGACTGGAGCTGGCTCTCATCGGATACTAAGTGACAACTCTAAGCAAACACTAGACCTTTCTTGACAGGTACAATGCACTACGTGTGGCCCAAAACCGGAAAAGATCTGGAAGGAAGTGCTTTCTCTGCTAGTGTCAGGCAAGTTCTTGTGCTATCAGCCATGCCGTACTTTAATGCTCACAAATCGAGAGAGCTTGGATGAATTCGCAATGCTCTTTTTTCTTGGTTATAATTTAAGCTCTTGAATTGTACGATGGTTGATTCATCTCCTGATGACTTTATTCTTCTAACCATTTGCTCAATGGTTCATTTTCATTCGTGCAGCGAGTAATTTAGATTTGGACTAATTCGATTGGAGCAGTGGTGTGAGCGAGTTTAGATCTGGACTAAAAGTATGATTCGTGCTATAAAGAATTGGTTACTCTTTTTTTAATACCAAGTTGCAGGCACGAACTTTTTGTCAGTGGTACTTAAAAATTGGCTGTCACAGTTTTTACTTGATCCCTAGCTGCTGGTCAGAAGAAGCGAAATCTCTACAAGTTTACAAAGGGGACAAAAAGAAGGCATGGAAAAACTCAGGTACCTTTCAATCTTATAGTTATACTTATCAATCCCAAACCGATCTTATAGCTCTTAAATTTTGCAGGGGATCAAAATCAAGCTTTTAAGCTCTTTCAACATATAGAAGCAAGAAGAAAAAATAATGAAAGAAGAGCTTTCGCAATGCTGATAGTGACGCTCAAGTGGCAGCATTAGCGAAAACTGGATCGAGCAAAGTGCTGCATTGCATCTTTGGTGATATCGAAATGAGGACGAAGATCTGCGAGGTGCAATTCCACTGTACCCTCCAAGGAAAGAGATCCCATCCAAATGTTCTTTCTTTCCTCTAAAAACCCTCTTTTAACTTTCTCCTTTGTCCTTGTCAGTGGACAGAGTGACCCCATCTCCAAAGCTTTCCAGAGATTAAATTTAATCACCCCCGACGTGGACCGGCTAAACAATGCTTAAATCAATTGTATTTAAATTCCGGGTTTCGGACAGACCATTATAAATAAGATAAACATTTCATTAAGATAATAACTATTAAACAAATCTAGTGATACTTTTTGCCCTTTCAGGCGCATGGATGACTAAGTATAGGCCTAGGCATGTACTTTTTTTAAGGAAAGAGTAAATTTATCTCTTTGTTTGATAGTGTGTTAATTTAGTAAAGGTTGGAAGGGGTAAATTTCTTTTTCTTTTCCGTTTTTTACGACCCAGTGCTCTACAGCGAATGAGCTCAATCATTGTTTATATGAGAAAACAATGCAAGGGAAGAAGCGAAAAAGGAAAACTGGGAGAAGAAGACGAAGAATTGGTGGGAGATTTCTCTTTTTTTTTTACTGTTTTTTTTCCTCTCTTTTGCTCCTCTCTTTTGCTCGAATCTTCGCTGGGGAGGCGAGCGGGCGCCATGGATTGAGCGCCCAAATGATCGAAGCGGGGCGTTGATGGCGAGAGCGTCTTGATCGAAGCTTTCCTGGCTTTTGGGTTGGATGGTGTTCTTGCGTTTTGGTTTTCTGGGGTTTTTGGCTGTGGCGGACAAGGCAACGAAGAAGAAGAAGAATGCTTATCAGTGCTGCCACTGCTGCTGCTAGAGCTCGCAGGCAATGGAGGCGTTTGTGGAAGACGATGATCCCATGGACTACTTCCAGCAGCATGATCATCATCATCATCAGCAGCAGCAGCCAGACCATCCAAAAAATGGTGAGTTTTTCCTCCTTTTCCTTGAAGAGATACTTGCCAGATTGATTGATTCAATGCTTTATACTCCTTGTATCGCTTTGTCTGTGTGTTGACTTCTGGAAATCGCGACAAAAGGAACCTCTCTGTGTCCATGGCTGGAATTCTTACGAGAAATGCTTACTTTCTGAGATATGTTTATCCTGGCTATGGTTTGCTTGTGGTTTTTACGTTTTCTGCTTCGATCTCCCAGAGTTTGTAGTTCACAAAATTGAATCTTTTTTCTTTCGCATAGAACTTCGAGTACACATCTCGAGCAGCACCACTCCACAGCAGGATCCGCCACCACCATCTTTCAGCTTGATGAAAAACGGCGAAGTCGACGTCGACGACGACGAAGACGATCAAGAACAGCAAGAGAAGCAGCAACCAAGAAGTCTGTCAGATCAAAACTTGAGCCAGCAGCAGCAACAGCAGCAGCGACAGCATGACCACCATGCCGAGCAGCAACTAGAACAACTCAACAAATCCTCCGACGCCATCGCCGATCAAGCCGACAGCAAAGAAGGCTCCAAAGATGCGGGAAGCTGGAGCACCCACGCCACCTCGGTGCTCCTCGACGTCTTCCGCGAGAAGAGGCTTGCGATCAACGGGAGGAACTTCCGGGGAGAGGAATGGGAGGAGCTCGCCAGCAGCGTCAACGAGCGATGCTACGCCATCACTCCTCCAAACAGTAGCAACTTGACCACCATCGCCACCGCCAGCAATTCTTCCAAGGAGCTGTGGAAGAACGCCAAGCAGTGCTCCTACAAGATGAGCAATCTCAAGCGCAAGTACAAGAGCGAGAAGGAGATGATCCAGTTGACTGGAAGCCATAGCTCCGGCTCCGGCTGGCAGTGGTTCTCCAAGATGGAGGCCATTTTTGGGAGCGATCCAAAGTACACGACTTTCAGCTCCGGGATCTCTTCCGGATCTGAGCTCGCGCTCCACGCAAGCAAGGGCGACTTGATCGTCGATGCCGTGGCTGGTGCCACCGACGAGGAGATATTTGGAGCCAACAACAAGGTGGTGGTGATCAACAGCACTGACAAGAGGATCTTGCGGAACAACAGCTTCGATCCGGGCGTGCTCCTCCCGCCCAGCAAGAGCGCCTCCACGAACAACTTGGATGGATCGTCACCCTCGACGGATCCGCGGCGGGAGACTGCCGCCGAGAGCAGTCCTCGCGAGTTTTACACGACGACGAGCAAGCATTCGCATTCCAAAAAGAAGCTTTGCGTGATCAACTCGGGACAGATTCCAGCAGCGGGGGTGGGCGGATCGCCAGCGGCGGCAGCGGCGGCAGGAGGATCGATGGAGGGATCGTTTCCGGCCAGTTTTTCGGATTCGATCAAGCTCCTGCTCATGCAGCAAAAGGAGGCGATCAATCTTCTCCGGGAGCTGAGTTATAACAGGCCACCATCTTCACAGCAAAGACATGCAAGTATTCTTTTTTTCCCTTCTGTTTTTTTTCCTCTCTTGGTTTTCACAGGAGCATTCTTTTTCTGGATCTTTGGTCGAACATTTTCTTACGTACACTTTTCTTGTAGGATCCGGAGAGCTCGGAATTTGGAGCTCGTAGAGATCTTCTAGACTTAAAGTCGAGAATCGATGCGGCCGACATGGAGCTAGTCTACTTGAAACAACTTTGTGAATCCAAGGTAAGCTTCCAAAGCTCGAATTCTCGATTCTCTTGATCGCAAAGAAAAATCCACAGGAGAAAGAGCTCAAGGACGCGATGCAAGTTTACGAGGACAAGAACAAGTACCGCAACGAGCTTGTGAGAAAGCTTATGGAGGTAAGAAAATCAAAATCACAGCTTTTTTACATTCTCTTTACGCACAGGGTGTTTACGAGAAAGAGATATCGAAGATGCGGAGGAGACAACACGATCTCCCATAGACTCGGAGGGCGTACGTAGGGAGCGTACGGCTGGAATGTGGAACGTCGCCGTCGATTTCCCGTCCGCAGATGGCGTGGATCGTGCCACGCGGCTGCCTTTAAGTTTTTTCCCGCTCAAAATTCTAATTTGTTTATTTCTCTCTCGCGTGAGCCAGCTCTAGGGTTCTTGGGCGCGCTCGCTGGGATGGGATGGCGATTCTGCGCTGGATTGGTGGAGTCGCGAGTGCTGGGATTGAGATCGCTTTGTGAGATGGGAATTCATTCATGAGTTTGCCTGAAAAGAATCAAGCCGTGAGAATTCCTGGCATTCTTGTGTGTCATCTAGATCTGCGTGTTTGTACTTTGAGATTTGGTATACCTGACCACTAAATGCCCGTTCAGCTCACATCACTCGGCCCTCCACCGACAGATCGTGTCGTTCCATTCCTTGCCATGTTGCCTGGAGAGCGAAAAAATGAATTTCTTCTCATTAAAAGAAGTTTCTTCCCCCCGCTCTTTGCTCTCTTTGTCCATCCATTGCTTTACTCTTTTCAAGATCTGGATTCTTCTGTGCAGGGAGCGCTCATGATCTCATGAACGAGAGTCTTAGCAGAAAAGAAAAGAAAAGTTCTTCTGGCGATCAGAAGAGGAAAAAACAAAGGGCAGTCTTGGCTGGATCTAATCGAGCAGAGGTATGAGGAGTGTGTCCATGTGCTGCACAGGATTCAATTGTGAGGCATCGGTGCTGCCGCTCAGACTTCCATCTCTGGTAAGTTCCCAGGAATTTTAGCGAGTTTTCAATGGTTTTGCTAAACTCGAAGCCTTGCAGGACAGTGCGCCAGTTGATATAGTTGATGTGACACCAAAGAATATTGGATCGAAAAGCTCTCCCGTGGTTTGTTTTGTGTTTTATAAGCTGCGGCTGCTGTGGGTTTACGATTTCAGGGATGAACACAAGACAAAAGGACCGCCTCTAATCACCAAGGTCCGTCCGTCGGTGTGCGTGTGTGTGTGCGTGATGTGTGTTTCTGTTTTGCTATGTTCCAATCGCACGACTGATTGGTTCGAGGTGGTAGCCCAAGTGGTAAGACGTTGCTTTGGAAGAATGTCGAGAAATCTTTTACGTTAATTTCTCTTTTTCCAGGACAGACATTCTGATTTACAGTTCTTGCATCTCAATGTTCAGCACACCTCGTTCCTCATGATTTTACGGGAGTCCTTTTAGTGCCAAATAACGCATCCACAGGTTACAGGTTTGTGACAATGATGAACTCCTTAGAATCTTTGAACAGTGAGTGCTAACCCTCCAGGTTCAAGATGATCCCTTAATTCGGCCACAATCGCAACACATGCATGGTTCCATCAAGTAAACACGAGTGCAAGGATTTTGTTACTCGACAATGCTCTAAGCTCGAGCTGGCTTAAGCATCAACGCTAGGAGATTTCAAGGTATTGTGCCATTTCCATTCAAACAGGCAAGCCATGCAAATGGAAGGGAAGAAAAAGAAACACAATAGCAGCAGCAAGGCCTGTAGATGAGGACAATGGCTCCCGGTAAAACAGTTTCAGTTCTTCTATTTTACACGCTTTGGATCATGAACATATATAGTCGTCTCGTCACAGCCATATAAAGATTAATCTCGCACTAATCTTTTCTTTCTCTCAATAAACATGTCGCTCGCATCGGAAGTACTTGAGAACATTAAACATATCACGAAACTGATAATAACGAAGGTCGCATTTATGACATGGAGTACAGATTTTCTCTGAATCCTGAAAAGGAAATGAGTAACTGATGAATGAAAGAAAAGAATAATTCATACCATGTATTTCTTGTAAATACTGTTTTACTTTATCAGGCCTGCAAAAGGATCGTTTTGTGTTGGTGGATTCGAAGTCGTAGGAGGAGCCATGCTGGAAAATGTTGCGTTTGTGGAGATGGTTGTCGTGCCGAATGCGAATGGATCGATCGTTGGTGGTGGCGGCGGCGGAGCAAGGCCGCTTGCTCCCGCGAGGCCAAGACCACTTCCAGATCCCATCGGTTTGAAACCACTGCTAAAAGCTTGCTCTCCTGTCCAATCTCCAAACTCCGAGGATGGATTGTTCTTAGCTGCGAAACGAAAGTAGAAAGGACACCGGTTATCCATCAGTGTATAATAGTTGACACTTACGAGCTGTGATGTTTAGATCAATAAGGCCCGATGACAAAGAGTCTGCCCACACCGATGATTTCGTCTGGAAGCCTTGCTTGGTTTGAGCAGCTGGAGGCGCGATTGTATCGACGAAGGAAGAAGCCGCAGCCGGAGGTGGTGTTTGAGAGGAAAGAGTTTCGAAGGCGTTGAAAGAAGCCGCAGCCGGTGCTGGTGCTTGAGAGGAAAGAGTTTCGAACGCGTCGAAAGAGTTGAGCGCAACGCTGTCGTTGGCCGGCGCTGGTTTGTTGAGCTGAGCAAAAGGATCGGTAGCAAAGAGATCTGTTTTGCTCGTAGTGGTCGGCACCGTGGAGGCCGACGTAAAGGCACCAAAATCGCTGGAAAATGCATCGGAGTCGAAAAGATTTGAGGCAGTGGATTGCTGCAGAAGAATTCAGTATTGCGAGAAGTCGGAAAACAAGAAACAACTTACATTCACAGTTTTCGGTCCAGAGACCAACTCAGGACTCGCAAAGGGATCCACCTCTGGCGTTGGCGCTGACAAAAAATCTAGTTGTCCCAGAAAATCAACTTGTGGAGCCACAGGAGCACGCGGGGCTGGAGCTGGAGCTGCAAAAGTATGGGAGTCCCGTTAGAGCAAACCAAGGAAAGCACGAAAACATTTACGTCATTTACCAGAGGCCCTGGGATCAAAGTCATCGTCATCGTCGGCGCTGGTTGCTTTGTTCATTGATTGGGCAGCACCTGTGTTCCTGCAAATCCGATGGCTTTTAGATAAGTATTATTGGAAGGCCAGGACATATACTTTTTTTGAGAACTTTCGTAGCTCGGAGGGGCTGGGCTTCTGCAAAGAAAGAAACAATTCGCAACTACACTCAGTACACTAGAGTTACCTTGAATCGTTCTCATCACTGTTAAAATCCTCCCGGTCTGCATGACGCCAGTCATCACGGTATCTATCGCTCTCCTTACTATGTTCATCGCCATAGCGATCGTCATCATACGTGCTCCCAAATCTGTCACCACCATTTCGTCCGTGACCATTTCGGTCGTCATCCCAGTCACTAAAGCCTCTAGATCCAGTGCTAGAGTAAGAACTGGGCTTAAATATGCCGCCGGTGGAAGAATAACCCTGATACCTGCGTTGTAATCCTCAAGAGATTCACAAAGAGAAAAGAAGAAAGACCAGACAACTTACTTGTCTCTATTTGCGGAGGCCTTCTGACGAACTTCGCGAATTTTTTCCTTGTCATTCAATAAAGAAACCAAAGATTGAGCTTTCTTGCGGACATTTACACCCTGATCCTTTCCATTTGGTTCTACGTATTGGAAGTCCACCAGTCCCTGTAGTAGGCAAATGACGCAAAGTGAATATGACATTTGAATTCTAGAACTAGAAAACGCACCTGAATCTGGTAGATGTTTTCTCGCAGCTCATCGATGACTCTGTCAGCTCCATGAGCAACAAGAAAATCAAAAAGTGTCAATCCCTGGCAAGACAAAAGACCATCACTTCGCAAAGACCTTGAGAAAAACTCTCACTTTGTACACATGACGCCAGTTTCTTCCCGTGTCGGCCAGTCTCTTCCACAGTATCGTCATGATCATTTGATAGTCATTGCTGCAAAAAGAGACATTTAAACATGAAACCTCCTGGAAAAACAAAGGAGAGCTTACAAGTTTCTGGTTGCTTGAGCGATTTCGGACATAGCAGTTCCATGTGGTCCCCAAGGCTCGTTACTTGTAGCATCAAGAACCTATGGCAAGGAAAGGAAAAACACCGACTTCTGTTCTAACGAGCCCGAATTAAAAAATACGAGAGCCTGTTACCTTTTGTTCGATCTCTGGAACCTTCAAAACCTTTTTGTTTACTTCTCTCCTCCTACAAAAGATTTCAATGAATCAAACGAAAAAGGGAAAGAAGAAGTTCCATGTGACGTACAAATCTCGAACAGTCTGGTCGAAAACCTTCCTGAGATCCATCGAGCATGCGCCCTTGATCAAGCGAATCCGTCAGAATGCATGGATCGCAGCAAACTGCGAATTTCTAGATCTAGCTTCTACAATGCAGGATCGAGAAACCCTCGCGCCGATGCTGCGATCGGCAAGAACAGACGAGGCGCATCTTACCTCAAAACCCTTGGCGCAGCCGTGGGATCAAAGCGCCATAGCCACCCAATCCAGCAGCTAGCTCGAGAAGGGCAAGCCCAAGCAGAGCTATCGCCATCGTTAGATTAGAAGGTAATACGTGGCGCATTGCGGGCCGTCCGCTGTCAGTTTTGGCCATACTCCTACGAATGCCAAATGCGGCTTTGGGCCATTGTACGGTATGAGCCAATGTATCCGTTAGAGATTTCGAACCCCGAGAGTTTTGGGTTTACAAGCCCTAGCTCGGGGGAAAGATCTTCGCGGCGCCATTCTTCTCCACTGATCTGCGCGATCGACATTCCCGGGTATGAAATCCTCCTCCTGTTCTTGAGGAGCGGGTGAAAAGGATTAGTGTAATGCCGCATTGGAGCTCCTGACACGGGATTGTGATCGGGGGACTGGTCGTGATCCAGCAGCTGGGCGATCGCCATAGCCGTCGGAAGAATGGAGAGAATCTCGGTAGCGATCCGTGTGAGGCCTCCATCGAAGGAGGAGCTCGTCAAAGGGAATCATTGGGTTGTTGAGGAACAGGAAAAGAAGCTTTCACTGTGCAACTGCTATGGAGCGCCACTCTCCGGCTACACTTACGCTTTTGGTAAATACTTTCTAGTCTTCTAGCTTTTGGATTCTAAGACTTACTTGGGCAGATCAATTGTTTGGATCGAATTCTAAGAACTCTGACGTCTACGACATCCATGCCAAAGAAGTTGTCATTTCGGCATTGCAAGGATTTAACGGTAGGCCAATTCAAGCCTTTATTGAGTCACGCTTCACGCTTTCTTTCTCCAGGAACTGTGTTTGCGTATGGGCAAACAAGTAGCGGGAAGACTTACACGATGCAAGGTTCTGATAGTCATCCTGGTATCATTCCTTTAGCTATCCGAGATGTTTTTGACAGCATATCCCAGGTTTGCTAGCTCGAAACTCGGAACTATCAGTTGCTGACTTTTATTCATTCAGAATTCTAGCAGGGAGTTCCTAGTTCGCGTTTCTTACATGGAGATTTATAACGAAGAGATCAACGACCTCTTAGCTCCCGAGAACAGGAAACTACAAATACACGAGAATTTCGAGGTAACATTTGCAAGTGTTTCTCA